ATAAAGTTAAAATAGAATGAAAATTGTGTTAGCAGTAATGAGTACAAGAGCAGATTGGTAAATCGTGAGCTTAGCAAGAGCATAAATAAAAACTTGACAAGCAACCTGGTGCGACTTTAAAATCTGAATACTTTCAGATTTTTTTTAATCTCTTTTTTTAGTCCAAAGGGATTTGAATCCCGAAGGACTATTAGTTTTGTTTTGGCATTTTGCGTCGGACTCATAAATGTCGGTTCACTTTTCAAACTGTTGCCACAAAAGGTTAGAGTCCTGCATTATATTTGAAGAAATTAAATAATGAAAAATCTGCATAAATGTATGTATATTTCTCGTATTGTGATAAAACAACGGTACATAGAGTCATCGAATTTTGAATAACGTAATCTCTCCAACGAATATGAGCATGTGGAAGACCAAATTTGAAATTTGAAATTTGTTTTATGATCGATTTTCTATTTTTTAAAACTTTGACGAATTTTTGATTAACAAACTCAAGGATTTCAAAGCGAGCAAAGCAATGGCAACGTTGTGCAGAAAAAACATTTTTATCTCCAGCGCGTGAGTCTCTGTATCGGAAATTCTAAAGATATGCTCGTTTTAAAACTATTTTGCGATATTGCTGTTGCACTGGATCTTATGGTTTAAGTGCGAGGAGCATGATATTTAATAAAGAAAGGTAACACACAAAATGTTAAAAAACGCCCCTTTGGACGTAATTTAAAATCTGAAACATTTCAGATTTTTTTTTTTTTTTTTTTGTGTGTGTGTGTGTGTGTGTGTGTGTGCGTGTTTGTGTAAACATGCACTTTTATAGGAATTAACTTGAAATGTTAATATGTCCATTCGAAATTATAGCTTATTCCTCAGGTGTTTATCTAAAGAATGATAGGTAAGAGAGAGACTTCTTAAATTATTGAGGTATAATTCCACGCGGCTTGAACTTTTGCTATTATCGTATTAATTATTAATAACATTTGCTCACTAATAACAGATAGTCGAATTGCTCAGTACCACTAAGTGACATTTTATCTACTATGGAATACATGCTTTAGCTTTTTCCACTTAGCCTTATAAAGAGAGAAATTAGATGACATGTTTTTACCTCTAGAAAGAAATCTGAAATTTTTAGCCTAGATAATTTTAAGTTATTTTTGAGCAAAATGATGTTTTAATGTCAAACATTAATGTTCATTCTACATGTAAAAATTATTTGATTCTTGAAAGTTGCAGGAATTAATATGTGTAATCCTGGAGACATTTTGTTGTTTTTGTTGTTGTTGACGTCGGTTGTTATCGGGGGATATATAATTTGCACGAGAACTGAAAGATGAAATCAACAATGGCTTATTAATGTGCATGTGAGTTGCGTTTTGATTTTGCATTTTTATTTACTTTCCGAACTAAAATTGAGAAATCAAACACTCTTCTCAATTTGCATACGATACCTTCCCGAAAGGAGTAAATACAAATGAAGTAACGAATAAAAGTGCCTCAGGATATACCTAAAAATAAACTTTTCCTTATGATGAATAATTTGTGCTGCTCTCCGTTGCTATTCAACCAGTAAAACATTTTCTGTTGTATTGTTAAATATAACCTAAAATAATTTTGCCTGTGTACTACATTTAAGTATTGTGGGAGTAAGCTTGCACTATGTGTGTAGGTTCTGCCTAATCAAAGCTTAGAAAAACATCCTTTGCTACGCGTTTTGATTAAACTGCAAGAGGACTAGGTTTAAGGCAAAATATGTATTCCGTTTAATTTGTAATGTTTTGTCAACCTGCAAGAAGAAATGAAACTTCTGCCAAGTCGTAAACCCACGTGATGTTCCTAATACGTTAAATTGGTCTGAATTGAAACTTGAGTTGTTATTAGCTATTTGCATCTGGAGAGATAATGGAAAAAATGGCATTAATAAGATAGTTTAAGTTGTTCGGATACGGCTAAGCACACTAAGGCTGTCTGCCTAAGGGGGTGGATGTTTTTGTGGAGGACTTTAGAAACAACCTCGTATTCATGGTGAGCATGGGAAAAAGCGCGAAAACCCACCTCGCATCCAGCCTGTTTGTCTAGATTCGAACTCATATCGAACTACCAGTATACAGCGGTTTTTAGCTCGGCCACTGGTGAGGTTAGCTTAAGATAAAAGTGTACCTTTTAAAACTAACCACAAAAAATCATTAACGTTTTCTCTTAAATTATTATTTTCTTTATAATGTGACTATTATTAAGCCATATTCTTTCATTTCTAAGGTTTTGCATCCTCGGTTCGCTGACTGCCCGAAACTTTGTCTACTCTTTTAATATAGACATTCTGAAATTTGCTTTCATTTGATAATTGCAGAAGTTGATGATTTATTTGCACATTTCCGCAACTTACTACTTCTCTCCGGCGGAGTTTTAGACAATATTTTTACCTCGAAAGAGTGTTTTTATCTGTACCAGATCATTTTTCGGATGGTCTTCAAATAAAAAATTCTTTGCATTCAATTACGATGTTTTTGTGACGAGATTTAGAGTTTGATTCAATCTAATTTAAAATGAACAAATCTTGAAAACCAACATAACGTTTTGCTTAAGAATAAACTGGAAGTGTTAACTAGATCTAAGACTGTGTAAACCAGTACTGAATCCAAAGTTAATTTCTATGATTCTCTTATTTTAGTGTAATGAAATATCTTATACCCTTTAATCGTGCCTCAACAGTGCTACCACTTCTCGGTGCTAAAATTTCCTGCTAAAACTGAATCAACGTGTGTCATCTCTTTAAGTAAGCTATCGAGTAACTTATTGATTTGAAGAAATTTGTTGACAGGATAACTCTTACGGACTTTAGTGACTGTTGTTACAAACAGTGTAAAGTGCTGAACAGTTCTTTTAATTTTTTACTTTCTCACCTACACTAAATTTATCAGTATTTTATGGGAATTTTTTTAATCCCGTATTTGTTAAGCATTTTGCTTCACCAATTTTATAGTTTATTAAGTAATTAACTAGACTTTTCGTCACATTAGAGCCTACTTAAATTAATACTGCGCATATTATCGACGTAGTCTTAGTAAAATATATCACAGTAAGTATATGATATCACAATAAGAAAGAAATATATTTTATCCCTTTTACTGTTTAAATATACTGAACAGAATATTGTTTCCACTTTAGCTTTTCCACATTACGTATTGGCATTTTAATTAAGTATGTAAATATTTAAAATATTGATAAATATTGTACCATGCATAAAAGATAATTTTTTATAAACTATAGCATAAAATAAAAAGTGCTTTTTCTTTCTCTTTAGACTGCTGTGTTAAAAGCAAATTTAATTTATATGTTTATAAACAATAAGTTTATCAAAAGTACAAAAAGGAAACTATCATATTTAGATCCAATGCATATTTAGTTAGTTTAGAGAAATTTGTGTCTCTAAGTAATTCGATTATTTGTTTTAAATTTAGTTTAAAGGCGGGGAGGGAATGACTTCACTCTGCATGCAGTTGGAATTTTTAGTGTTGTTGTAATTTTATAATTAATATTGAAAAAATAAACTGAAAGCGTGATGACTCTCTTTCCATTCGTTTAATCTGTGAATAAAATATAGATCAAACCTGAAAGAGAATGAAATGAAAAGTAAATTCTTTTAAAGATGAATTTTTTCATTTTATTCAACCTATACTTATTAGTAATTTAAAATGCTTCACTTTTGAATAAAAGTTTAACTAAAAATTAGTTTGGGTAATTTTTCGCTTGAGCCTAAATTTAGTAAATACAGTGAGAGTATTTTAACAGCATATTTCTGTCAATCTTCCAGTTCCCAAAGACTGGATCTTGCATAATTAAAGTCTTGAAATAAAATGATTTTATAATAGGTATTCTTCAATACCTATTACGAAATTACCTATTACGACCTATTACCTATTACCTATTACGACCTATTACGAATTTTAAAATCCTACTGAGCTTAAATTCCAAAGCAGCTATTTTTTATCATTTTTACAAATTTTCTAGTTTTAAAATCCTATTGTTGCTTAAATTGGAGGCTTTCTTAAGTCTGAAGTAAGACGATATTTATTTAATTTTAAAGCTGTTTTAATTATGTTATTATTTTAATTGTAACAGCATAAACCTTTTCCTTTCGTCAGCAAATGAAAATATATGTGAAAAATATTTTGCAATCAAATCTTACTTCAGAATATTCAGAATCAGCTGAAATTTCTGAATTATTTAAATGTATTTTAATAACGTAGAAAACATACTGTGTTTTATTTATGTGGGTTTAAATTTTATAAAGCTTTCCACGTAGTATAGCAATACTTGCCGTGTTATAAAAAATTATATTTTAAGTGTTTTCGCTCAAATTTTCTTTTCAATATAATCTTTATAGAACTAAAAATGTTCACTGATATTTATAAAGCTTTTTTTTTTTTTTTTTTTTTTTTTTTTTTTTAGAATTTCGAACTAACTTGAAAATAGTATTTATAATGATTTCGATGTGTAATTTACAGTCGCTAATTCAATAAAACATTTTATCTTACGAATCACAAAATCAACAAGCAGCAGCATGGTCAACAGCAGTGACAACTGTAGTGAACGGTATTCTTGTTTTAGAAAATAAAGCTTTTTTCGAAGATTATCTATGTTATATTACTTAACTGTAACATGTAAATATAGTACGCTGACATATAACTTCACTTTTAATACATTAGCATATACTGAAAGTGAAGCTATAAACTTCTTAACTTCAGTTTTGTTAATTAGAAAATCACTTTCGATCTGCTCATGAACAATAAGAAAGGAAATAAATTTTATAAAATCATTTCTCTAATTTTTAATGAGTATTACGAGAAGATATACAGAACCATTATGAGTTTCTCTAAAGCCTATTTTCATGCATTTTAAATAATAAAATACTGAAGCAACATCCTGCATTGTCCTTTTAAAGTTCAGTTTTTAAATAGTAAATTTTAATTAAATACGTTCATGAGATGTAAAATAACTGACACTTTTTTTTTATAAAAATACGTGTTTATTAGATACAGTGTATCTTAGGAACTAAACACCAGGTTATTTTGCAATTCATCCCAACTAAGTGAATTCTTCAGTATATCTTCTTCTTTAACATCTTTTTTGCTTCTCTGACACGAAGCTTTTTCGTGGGCCCTAAAAAATAAACAGAATTAGTTAGAAGTTAAATCAAATTACTAATAAAAGATGCATTAAAAATATCTTCGTTACACGACACAAGTACAATAATGTAAAAATCATAGTTCAGTAATATAAGCAGAGCCAATAACATAATTTTACCAAATCGTTTATAGATATTAATATCTATAACAATGTACATTTCTGTAAATACTTAAATCGTTTTGATTGCATTGATGCTTCAGGGGATTTCTTCACATTGTTTTCTTTATTTATTTGTTTAATTTTAGGTTTGGGGATATATTTTATGTAATTGAATTTTTGTCCGCCTTTTGTATATAATTGTTTATTTCTTATACAGTATTGTATATCTTTCAAATTTGAATCCGATGACGTTTAAATAATTACAATACCTCAACCAAAACGCAAGACAAAAGCAAAAATGCTCTTAATAGACCTTGCGATATTTGGGGATTTCTTGCGAACTTGGCAGTTTTCTGGGAGTTCCGAGAAAACGAATTTCCAAAACCCCAGGACTGATTGTCATGAAGGTTCTAAATGTTGATACATCAGACTTTACTCGGTGAATGACATAGAAAATTTATGCAATTTCTCATGCTCTCAGGAGGATTTTTCTGAGTATTTACAGCTATTTATTTTGCTGTGTGTCATCGTTAATTGTAATAAACTGTCCATTTCTTCTTGCTCAGCTCAACTTATTATTGAACCAAACATCTAGATTGCAAAGCTCGTAATGTTTGTACTGAAATAAGACACGGATTTTCACAAATACAGTTTTGCGATTTCAATGATTTCAGCTCTTTACAGAACACATTTCTTTGTTATAAAGTGTAACAAAGAGTAATGTTGGTACATTTTTTAACTTTATCTGCATTTAAATTTAAATTCAAAATAGCTTTTATGAAGGAGAATTTAATTACAGAAATAGTAGTTAAAATTTAACGAAAAATGATTAATTCATTGTACTTAAATTCAACTCAGGATTGAAATCAACCGATATTATAATGAAAATTATTAGGTTGGCGATGGCTAACCTAATAATTTTCCAACTCCAACAGAATATTCCACCAAATTTCTATTCACGAAATTTTCGTTTTTAAGAACTAATTTCGGTCCGCCTGAAATACGAACGCCTGTTATCACTGAAAGTTTTTAAATGATCTATTTGAAATATTTATTTACATCAGCAAAAAAAGGACGTTACTTCCGGATATTAGTATCGGATACTAGTTTCAAAACGGCATTTTGCATTAAATCACTATAAACGACGTACCACTTTTCAAATTGCTGCAACCAAATATTATCGCCCTGCATTATATTTAAAAAAGTTAAATAATGAAGAATCTGCATAAATGTGTGCATGTTTCTCGCACTGTGAAATAACAACAGTGCCTAGACTCATCAAATATTGAATAACGTATTTCTCCACCAGAACATGGGTACCTGAAAGCCCGAATTTTGAATTTCGAATTTGTTTTATTATTATCTATTTCATATTTTGTAAAACTTTAACGAAATTTTGATTAACAAACTCAAGGACTTCATATCGACCAATGGCAACTCTGTGCAGAAGAAAACACTTTTATCTCCAGTGAGCGATACTATCTATCAAAAATTCTAAAGATAGGCTGTTTTTAAGTATTTTTAATACAAAAGAACATTAGACCAAAGGCTCTCGAAACGTGTATGTGTATGTTAATGAAAAAAAAAAACACGTCTTTGGACATAATATAAAATCTGACAGTTTTTGAATTTTTTTATAATTAATCTTCACTGCCTTTATTATATTATTATTATTATTATTATTATTATTATTATCATTACTATTATTTTAAGCTTCTTTCACTTTAACACCAGTAATTGCCAACGTAAAAAAATATTTTGAGCTCCGTTTCCGGATTCAGAGATAATTAAACTGTATTCCTGAATTATCAAAAAAGATCTGATTTTATTTTAGCGACTAGCATTATTGAAATAGCGTGTGTTAAAATTTCTGAAGAAATATCATTTGGATATTTAAATGTTAAATTAAAAGCTGGTCTTTTCTAAAATACCTAAGTATCGCTCTCATCAGGCAGACAGACCTCGTGTGCTTTGCCGAATTCAACCTAATTTAACCTTTACCTAAATCCAATGGCATTAATTTTTTACATTTATAGAAATTGGAAATCGGAAGATATATCGTATAATTATTTATGCCTTCGTTTTAATTTTCAGATTAAAATATTCATCATTTCTACTATGAAAGAATATTTTTTTAAGAAACTAGTTCTTTTATCAATTGATGTTTCACAATCTGATTTATTAACATTTCTTTCTAAAGTCTCGTTATATTTGTTGATATATTCATGTTTAAAGCTAAATTTTCATACTTTTCAATAATGTTCTGTCTCATTTTCTATAAAGAAATATGTAATCTTTCTATTACGTTTGCTTGTGTTATTTAATCTTGCAAACTTACGCTGTTTTCTTAAGAAGGGGGATGCCTTTGGGTGGGACTTTCTAAAGGAAACAGGCTCGTAGAGAAATAATGGAAACAGCTATGCAGCCAAACATTTCACCAACATTCGATATTAGATTAACCTCTATATTAAGCGTAAAGTTTTAAGTAGATTTAAAGTTTTTTTTTTATATTTATTGCAAGGCTTTATTTACTTTTCGTTTTATTGCAATACTAACTTCCACGAAAACATACATAAATTTTAATTTGGTTTGCTTAAAAAGGCTATTATGTTCGCCTTAGATGAGTTTGAACTTTGTGTAAATATAAATTAATGAGTCGAAGAGTATACAAAACATGTGATAATGACTTTTTTTTACCCCAGTTTAAGTATTAATCCTTAATTAATTAATTTTTTTATTTGATTTGGTTAACTGATCAAAGAAGAAAACGAGTTGCGTAAGTGCTCAAGAACATAGCCTCCTTTTTATTGATTTACAGTTATTATTTTAAAACGTGCTTTTTGATAAGTTTCAGAATTGAAAGATAACTATCATAATTTATTTCTCAATGTATTGCTAAAATTTCGTAATTAAATTGCCGCCTCTCGTTGACATTCACCTGAGGCAAGTGAGGCACTTGAGTTCCCTCGTCCTTGCTCTATCTATAGTTACCAGAAATTAGAAGACAGTAAAATGGAGAAGTCACCGTCATAGAACTAGCTTTGGTTTGATTAGGTTTGTTTATTTAGGTTGCTTAATTATTGCAAACCATACGATGGTTACCTAGCTAAGGGAAAGGATGTCTTCATTGTAAGAGAAACTGACTGGGATTCACGATATATATGATACGAGTGGCATGCCATACAAAAAAAAAAAGTTGGCTTTATTTTAAAGGAGTTTATAACACGAATAACAGTTCGAATTTACAATTCATACAATTTCAGGCATCACATACGTGAACAGAGACGTATGATAGAAATAAAACATGTACATATAAATAAGTTGCTTCGTAAAATTTCTCATACTAAATACGCAGAAAAATTTAAAAAGGTGAAAATATTTCATTAAATTAATTAATTAGCATCATCACATCATTTTTCAAATGAGCACAAGAGGCATCCGTTTTCTTCATACGTTCAAAAAGTAATAATTTTGATTAATGTGTCTAGGTTAATTTCCCATAAATCAATATTTAACATAACAGAATGAAATTTATATTTCTTTTCCACACATAATGAAAATAATAAATTCACTTGTTATTAATTTTCGTAAATCAGATAATAGTTATATTATGATAACTAGTTTTGAAAATAAGTGTTAAAATCCAAAAGTGAATTAACGATGTCCGTCTTCATCGACTGAACAAAACGTTATCAGAATAAAAAGAGCTAGTTAATTACAGATTCAAAAATGTGATTAAAATTAAACTCACGATTTTCCTCCTTTTAACTATTGGCATGATATCTCTATATATAAAGAAGAATGACTGTGTGTTTGTCATCTAATAACTCAGTCACTACTATAGCTATCGTCTTAAAACTTTCTACATTTTTTCCTGGATCCTGGAAATGACTGGTCTACTCCCCCCCCGAAACAATTAGCTAAAATCAGAGATATTAATTAAAAACGCGGGAAAACGATAATTTTCGCCCTTATTTTTCTGAGTGGCAGCAGTCTCGCAATTTCGAATAATTTAAAATATAATGCATATCAATCAATTACCTATTAAAACATTTTTGAAGTAAATCCTTTTCTTTATAATAAAAGACCCCAGAATTGTTTTCTTGTAGAAACCGGTCTGCTTTTTGTTTCATCTGAATTTATTTTAATGCCGATTTTACGACTGTTGTAGTCATTTCGTTTGGGATAACAATGACATTGTAACTGAGTTATTAACTAATTGAAATTCTAGTTTTAACTTCATAAAAATGATTCTAGCATTTTGAAAGGCATCGTGCAAACTATTTTGCTCTTGATAATTAGTAGTCTATTTTCTTCATATTAAGCTAACCAGCTGCAAAATTTGAGTCAAATACTTCGTGAAATCAATATCAAGACACATTCAATTCCAACTATCTGAATTGCACAGTTACGTGACTAATCCTATTTCAAGGTCAAACTGCCTATTAATTTATTTCTGAAGTATTTTATTATCATACCATAATATTTGTTCCGTAATTTAACGTGCATTTTTAATTATTATTTTAATATATATTTTTTTATTTTATTATTTAATCAACAATGCTTTTTTCACTAATCTTTCCGAAATTATGCCTTTTTTTAATGTTTTCAGTATTTTAGTTTTGATAGAACAGAGCACTCATCGTTCCACATAATAATGTTCAGTTTTCGAATATTATTCATACATCTACCTTTCAAGAATCATTAGAAAGTGAATACAAGACGATTGAAACTCCTAAGACAATAACTCATATTTAAATTAATGTTTTTCAACGGGAACGCATGATAAATGATTTTGAATCTATTTCGACCATAATTTATCATTCTAAGCTCAAGTCAAACCGTCACGCCCAGTTCTTGATTCTGCTGCACGGTTTTTCGATCAGTCTTGGTTCTTTGACCTCCAGCTATCTATTTGTAAATTTATGTATTAACACTGTCTTCTGTACCTATTTGAGGTTTACCTACGTTTCAAAAGTATTTATCGACAATACTTATAAGTTTTTTGTTGCTGTAGAACTTTACAAGTTTGCTGTTGTATTTTGGAACTTAAGTCTTGATGATCCTACTAGGCAAGATAGCAAATTATCGCTACGTCTTAAATAGTCACAAAGTATTGAAGAACCTTTAAATTTTTTTTTTAGTCGAAAACTAAGCTTAAAATCCACAACTTGTGTTACAAACTAACCGCTACTTGTGGCTATTAAATTAAACTATAAAAGACGATTAAATTCAAAACGCGGGTACTGTAGTCTAAGACTGCACATTCAGTAGAATAAGGAATAAGCAGGCTCAGTTATTCTACTGAAGTGTTAGCCTATAGCAGCGGTTCTTAACCTTTTAACTAACGCGTACCATCTTAACAAAAACTGAAAACCTTTAGTACCACCACTACATTTTACAATGATATTATTTGTCAAATTCTGAATAGAAATTTTTAGAAAAAATTCTGAAAGCTTTCAGATTTTATTTTACGCCCAAGGGGGCGTTTATTAACGTTTTGTGTGTCCCCTTTATTTATTAAATATCATGTTCTTCGCACTTAAACCGTAAAATTCAATTCAACAGCAGTATCACAAAATATTTAAAAAAGCATATCCTTAGTATTTTCGATACACAGTCTCGCGCGCTGGAGATTAAAATGTTTTTTTTTCGTACAGTGTTGCCATTGCTCGCTTTGAAATCGTTGAGTTTTTAATCAAAAATTCTTTTAAAGTGTTATAAAATATGAAATTTTGGGTGTTGATGTAGTTAATGCAGAATGTTGAGGTATTTAATTTTTGAATTTAATAATTAAAAATACTTTGGTTCTTTCTGTACTACCTATTTTTCTCCTGCGTACCACCTGTTGAGAACCCCTGGTCTATAGCATTGGCTGCCTAGAATGCCATAAGTGGAACATTACATTTAAATAAAGCTAACAACAGACGCGAGTACCCTAGAAGCTCTCTCCTACTAAGATCAAAACCCTATTCTTAAATACAGTCAAAGCTAACTTGCATTCTGGTGAGGGATACGTAAAGAAGAAATTGTAATAAAGTTACATAAAGATCAGAAATTTAGTTATTGGTTAATTAACAAAAAGCACGTTACATACTAACTGTCATCGACGGACATCATAAAGGCCCTAGTATTTTTTATGTAAGTCATCCATCGTTTGCCAAGACAGAAAACTTAATAAGAGTGCATCAGTATAAAGGTGCTATCAATGTTATACTGGTCAATTTTTAATCTGAAGGAAAAAATACTCCCATTAAGATGCAGGATCTTTTAGGACAGGGTACTGTTAAAGGGGTATCATCGTAAGTATTCCAAAGACTTTAAAAGGAAAAAAATTGCGCATATTTTTTGTACTAGTATTAGACAAATATTAAAAAATAAGAAGGTAAAAATTTTATTAGAAATGTAAAGAACTAATTATATTTAGGATTTATACGCAGGCAATTTTCTTTTATCCATTGCCAGCTCTCAGTTTCAGATCATTTCTGTTAGAAAGCAAAGTTCTGATGGTTCAACTTCTCTGTTGTGTCAGGCTGAACGTTAGCAGCTTTTTGGCTCAACATTTTGTCTAAATTAAACATTCACAAATGAATTTTCTTCACGTAAATACAATTAGCGGAACGCGCATAATACTTTTAAGGGAAAGAGGAGCGTGAAAGGAGAAATCAACGGTTTTACCGTCCCGCATTGATAGTAGATAACAGATTGAACGATTCTACGAGCTGAAACATGCCGACGATTGAACGATCACCTACTATACTATCATCCTTAAAATTACAAATCGTAAATGTAGAGAAAATGCCCGTGCATGGGAAAATGACAGTGCACATAAAATTTGCATCTTATGTATATAATATATGTGGATGATATAACCGATTCATGTTTCCTTGGACTTGACTTTGTGAAGGATAGATTTGTTAGATGACAAGAATAATGAATTGCGCACATTTAATGAAGAAAAATTGATGTTTGAAGTAAATGAAAATGAAATGAGCTGCTACACGATAATTGCTTATGATATTAATCTCCCTCCAAGAACAGCATGTATCATCAGCGGTGCCCTAAAAAACTCACGAAAAGTTTGTGCGCTGGGATTTCTGATTTACGGAAGGAAACTACATGTTCGAAAGGACTTTAATTGTAGCTGCCTTCGTGAACTTTGCAAAAGAAAATGGGCCGGTCAAAATTTCGAATATATGTGACAGGTCTCGTATTTTCACGGAATGGGAGGAAATAGCTTCAGGTTCTCCTGTGACAAGTATCGAGGGAAGTTCCGTTGATCTGAAGCTAAGTCCTCTTGAATTGAAAGATTAAAAACTAAAAGTAGAAAATTAAATGCTAAACAAATTCAAGCTGAAAATAATTTAATAGAAGAAGTTAAAGATGTGTTTTCAAAGTCGCCTAATAAAGTTGATCCCACGAATGTGACACAACATCGGCTAGACACTGGAAACCATTCATCTCTCAACCAACATCCTCGGCGTCTTCCATTCGCAAAACAAGAAATTGGAAAGCTTCTGAAGAAGATGCAGGACAATGATATTATTGAACTACTGTCTAGTCCTTGGGCATGATCTACAGTTCGAAAAAAGGAATTAATACAGTAGCTATAATTAAAGTCCACAGTATCATTCTTTCGACTATAGACGTTTAAATGGCAATATAATTATAATAATATTTGGAATTATAAGAATAACATAAAATATGAATTAGAACTCGAAGTATAGGCAATTTCGTTCCTGAAAGGCCTTGGCGAAAATTTTTCTCTGGCGACATTTGGCGATTTCTCGCAACTTTTCACCTAGATTCTCAAAAACACATTTTTGAAACCCTGCAACCGATTCTTCCCGAAGTTTCCAGATCTCCTGCTGCAGAGTATAAATTCGCATCGAAGAGGTGAGGAGTTCAGTGCAGTAAATAATGCTTTTGTAATTGTGTATATACTCATCTGATGTACCCATGCAGTATATATGTACATATTTATTTTCTTTATTATGTTATTTTCATGTATTTTGAACTTTGCCTATCTCTCAGCAGAAGTGTTTAGCAAATTCTTTGCTAGATACTCCCACGAGAAAGGAAAACGACTTTCCATGACCAATCACTAGACTGAGGATCGTGGGGAATCAATAGCAAAGCGACTACTTTCGGAGACTGTAAATGTTTCGGACTGGCTCAACCACATCGCTTATAATTCTAAGACCTGAAATTTTATCATTTCCAGTGATATCATATCATAGGCTTTTCCCCTTACCACCTTACAAGTCTCCTAGGAAAAACTTCGGGCCAAACAAAAATGTATCATTTTGCGGCAATTACTTGCAACAGCCGCTAAACATCGAGCTTATCGCTTGATAATCGGGCATGTAGAGGAAGCTAGAGTTGGAGGGGAGTTCATTTGTGAAACAGTTGTAGAACATGTAAAACAGCCAACGACTTAGCGGTTAGTTGAACTAGTTAGGATTTACCCTGAGAATGATTTGCTGAACTTACGATTTGTGTTAAGATGGAATTGCTAAATATCTGAGTTCTTTCCGGAAAATTTTTGCGCTGTGTGTTGCTAGTTATTGTGCCGATTTTCCTAATAAATTGCTAAATTTTTCTTGCTTATCTGGTCTTATTATCTAAAGAAATATCAATGATTTCGTAGCTCCCATTTATATTTTATTACATACCCATTATGTACTTTAAATTCTATATTATTTTTGTTAGTTTGTTATTTTAAAAGCAAGAATAAAAATGCTGATTTCATTTTAAGTAACAAAAGTAAGAAATCATTCTTGCAAAAATAGTTTTGTATTAGGGTAAACTGAGAAATAATTTTCAAACTTTTAGGACATGGAAAAGAAATATTTAGATTATTAATAATAATAATAGTAATAACAGATACAATTTAAATTGTACTGTAATTTTATGAAAATGGGTTATCATTCACTCATTTTCAGTTCATTAAAATCCTTTTATTTTTTGTTTTTTTGAGAATTAGAACAGTGATACCGATAAGTACTAGCAGCCCTAATGTTTTACTCCAAAAAATTAAGAGTGTGGTTTTCAAAGCAGCCACTAGAAGACACTGATGACACATGTCAATTGAAAGCAATCCCATATTCATTTTTTATGACAGCTTTCATTGAACATCAGTAAAACTAATTTTCCAAGTAAACTTTAGGTTAAATTCAGCAGCCCAGACGGTATAGTGGTTAGGGGAGCCTGACTGCGATACCAGGGTTCGAATCCCAGAGAAGGCATGAATGTAAAATTGTCTGTCAATTCACAGGAGGTAACGGTGGCCGCCTATTAGCTGCCTCCACAATAAAATGGTCACCACTTCTGGCCTTAGGATTGGCCAATGCCTTTATAGGTAAGTGCTCGCCATTGGGGGAAAAAGTCAAATTCTGTAATCATAAATTTCGAATCAGGCATCCACAAAATATTTTTTAGAATTATAGTCCAGAATAAACTATCTGCTTCTATTATTCACTCTCTGTAACTATACTGTATACAATTTACCTTCTTTTAGCTTTAGGAATTCGAATAAATCTTACAACTGACAAAATAATTACTTTATAGCTATCTGAAAAATACAAACAGATTCAATAAAACGAATTGTCTAAACATCAGAATATTTCAAACAACACAGACATAAACTTGAAAGTTTTACGTTAGAAACATGAACTTACCTTATCCTCCATTTCGCTACCTCGCTTCATCGTCCACATGGCTTGGCAAATAATACCCATTGCGCGAAACATAAGGTCTTTCATCCCACTTCCACGTAGTCTTGGAAATAGCCAGTTCTCAAAGTCTTGCCATTCATCACAGCATAAGATCTTTAACTTAATCTTTCACACATAATCAATCTGCAATAGATAAATAAACTGAAGGAAATATTAAACTGACATTTTAATTATTTAAATTGATTATTTTCTTTTTAGTGATATAGCTGATAGTTATAATTTTAAAAACATTTCAGTTTTGGTATATCCAACGGTTAGTCTCATGAACTTGTATTATTATGATTTCATAAACATTAATATCGTAATTTATAAAAGATTTTGACGTCATAAAATTTAGATTTTTTTTTTTTTTTCCTTTTAGTAGGAAGTGTTGGCAAAGAACGCGAGGGCTATTCACCTAAGAAAAGGTACGCTTCCCTGAAGGACTTCCTAAGGGACTTTGAAACATGGGGAAGATAGGAAAACGTTCGTGCAGCTAAATCCGTTCGCTGGGATTTGAATCCGTGTCTTATTATGCAGTTTGTTATTGAATCGTTTATTTTTTAAAAATTAAAATACGTATAAATACAAATTTAATATATTCTTCTTTTTGAATAAAGAAATTCATACGAGTAATAAACCATTTCGTATAAATTACGAAAATATGCCAAAGCTAAATGATGGTTTAATAGAAAAATTGTAAATATTGTAATAAAGCATTATTAAGATTGAAATTTTAAAATTGAAGTTAATATTTAAATGTATTGTTAAACTTTATAAATATAATTTAATAATGAAAGCTGTCGCTTTAACTTATTAACCATCTATAAACTTCATTAATTTGGATTGAATATAACTATTTATAAAATAATTTTTTCTGACAGTTATCTCATTTGAGGAATAAGTAAAACTTCACACGGGAAGAAAGAAATTAAATATTTTAAATACATTAAATAAATCTGGATTTCGATTTATTAAATTCTGGAAGTGTTGTTCTAGGATTATCTGCCTAATAAAGGGGTTGCTTTCAGTGGGGATTTTATAGCAAAAGTTTGAGAAAATAATTTTGACCTTTCGATAGGTTTGATCAATGTTTATTATACTGTATTGCATTATTTTCACGTACTCTATGCATATGAAAATAGCTTGTAATTTGTTTATGCAATACCTATATATTTAATATATCTTCTGTTTTACTGAGGTTATGATCAGGCTATTCCTTTCTTAGGAATAAGGGTTATATGCGCGTGTGTGCAGCGCTGATCAGCATACTGTAACTAATTGAAGTGCAAGCTCATATTAGCAAATTGCTTGGTCAACGAAAAAATAACTGTCTTCCAGAACATGTGCACAGACATATATAGTTACTGTTAAATGCAAGAAATTATAGGAAGAGGTATAAGATTAGCGCAGAAATGTAATAATATTTTAGTGAAGGCTGTTTAGTATGCTAATTATCAATAAGATACAAGATGTAGTAAATATATAGGCATTGCATAAACAAGTTGCAAACTATTTACTTATATATAAACTACGTGAAAATAATATAGTACAGTATAAAAGACATATATTTGTTTTCAAAACATCCATAGTATTACGAATTTTGTACATATACGAATAATTTTAGTGAAATTATATGTGAAACTGATTTATGTTTCTGTAATGTAACATGAAAATCTAGAGGTAGGATACTCTTCCGGGAAAATATTATTTTTCGACAAGTCTATAACATTGAGAAATTGGCTATCTCAAAGTTTTGGCGACGATTTTTGTCCCTAAATTTGGCGAGAAATCGCCAAAAGTTGCGAAACTTCGAGACATTTTTGTCCAGACCTGTACCACAGTATTAGGTACTGTAATTACAGGTACTGTAATTGAATAACTGTAACTGATGTTAAATGCTTTGTAACAGTATTCGGTCCTTATATGCCTTCCAGTTCTATTATACCAGTAATTCAGAGAAGTACAAAGTACTAGAAATATCTAAAAATCGAGTGAAAACTATAAAAGACCGTATAGAGCATCTTCTCTCACTAGTTGTTGTGAGTTGTTAATTCAGAAGGATTTCGGTGTATTGAGATATCCGTGAAAGCTTCGTCTTTTGGATGTGCCTTGCATTGGTTGTGTTTAACGTTCTTAGTATTTTGAAGTGCAACTACTGATTGTACTGTGTGATACTGTGAATAACTGTACCAGTATTTCTATGGAAAGTTCCAGAACTCAAAGACTGTCAAAAGTGTTACTTTCGGTAAAATAAATTTTATCAACCTATCATCGGACCTGTGTGCATTCAATCTATTATGAATCAGTACGCACACAACTATAGAATTAAAAGAGTAACAGAGTTCTAGTTAATCATTATACACATATAAAATGTTGAGGAATGTATGAGGCCATCGGGTTCATATATGCTAAGATCGCAAATATTTCATTTCTTTCAGAATGCTGTATAAGGTACAGAGAGCAAATTAGGGAAAGTTGCTTGATTTACATATGATACTATTGTTAAAACCATTCGAATCTGTGTTCTTAGCTTGTTCTGTCTGACAGATTTTGAATCATTTTGGTGATCTCAGCGTCTGCAGGTCACAGGCTCGTCACATGCTACTGTGATAGCTCGGTAATCTTTTTTCTTTCCGATTGGCAGTAAGGTCCGGAATGTTTTCTGATGGCGTATCTTCTTTAAATATGTTATAGAGAAAATATGATCGGTTACTGTTTCTTGTTAGTAACTCTTGGTAGAATTTCTACCGAGACATTTATTGGCCGAAAGATTTTGTTATGCTCGTTTAAAGAATAGATCGAATAGTTTGCTGGTAATATTGTTCAAATATTTCCTTCCATGAGTCTAATTTTGCAATGCTGATATGTCTTTTAAATGCATATTTTTATTGATGGCATCTTCGTCTTTCAAGGTCTTGGCAAACCTGGTGTTTGCAGAGTGAGGGTCTCACGTTTTGTGAATCGAAAGGTAAGCACAGGCATCCATCATATCGCTCCCCTAAATTTCAAGCTTTCCTCGTTTTAAGGAATTGTGTGCATATTTTGCTCAAAACATGGCTTAAAACATACTAAGCACAAGCTAATTCCTGGGCGGAATTGCAGTTAATGAAACATAGATTGAGATTTGCCACATACAGAAGGTGTTTCACAACTGCAGAGCGGTTTCAGGGCCATATAATCAATGCGAAAATGCAAAGAGTATTTCTTAAACGTTCGATCTGATAGCCGTTTTTCAGGTCTGTAAGTTTTCATTGTGACTTCTATAATAGAAGGGCTTTTCGTACGATTTCTAAGAGTATTAATTTTCATTCCTCTTCCATAATTTTCCAGAGCTCATCAGTCGACGTGGATTTGCGCTTAGAAAGAGCTCTCATCAAGGGACCAAAGGCACAGCAGTCTGTAGCTGAAATGTCAGAGGACTTTTCAGAAATACATTAAAAATATATATGTGCAATATCAGTATCAGTCTTCAGTTTTCAGGGAATGCAGTGGTACCTTTCGAAGGGAGACTTTTGCTTCGTCTTGTTGAAGTTTGAAATCATTGGTATAAGGAAATAAAATTTCTTCTGTAAATATTGGACGTAAAAATTTCTCTTGATAGTAACTTGAGTTGATTTTAATATTTTTTCCACTTTTCTTACTTTTAATTTCCCACTATAAGAGAATCCTACGACAATTATAAATTACTTACAATTTTAATCCCGATTATACCCTGACAATATTCCCTGAATATTATAATCCTTTTCTTGCTCCCTTTGCATTTGTAATTTTTTTTCTTTTCGTAATAAATAGACTATTTTAGCTCAAATGGGCGTGAGCACAGAAAGACTATAAACCACGAAACGGCATTTTTGCTTCGAATCAATTTGAACGTCCGAATCACTTTTCCGATTGTTACCACCAAATATTATCGCCCTGTATTACACTTAAAGAAGCTAAATAATGAAGAATCTATATGAATATGTGTATATTTCCCGTATTGTGAAAAAACAACGGTACCTAGAGTAATCAAATTTTGAATAACATAGTCCTCCGCCCGACCTTGGGCACCTAGAAGGCCGAATTTTAAATTTCGAATTTGTTTTATAGTGCATTTCATATTTTGTACAACTTGAACGAATTTCTGATTTAAAAACTCAACTATTTCAAACCTTGGCAACATAATATTTTTATCTAAAGCGCACGAGTCTGTCTATCGGAAATTCTAAAGATATGCAGCTTTTAAATATTTTAGCCCAATGTGGCGTTAGCCTAAATGATCTCGGTATGTGTCTGTAAATGAAAAAAACTCCCGTTTGGGCATAAGATAAAAACCTTCAAGCTTTCAGATTCTTTTTAGTTATTTTTTTCAGTCATTTAGGTAAACCCATGCTTCATCAAGGGTCGCAATATATCTATTTATCGACTACTAAGTTTCCGTAACGGGTTCTATAAATTGTTCTGTACTGAGCACGTGCCTCGGCAAAAACTGGTGAACATTATTTTTTTAAGTCATAAACTTTAATTTATTATTAGCCCAAAGGGGCAATTTGCCCAGAAGGGCTATTAATTTCAATTTGGCATTTTGCGTCGTCCACCATAAAATGGCGTTTCACTTTTCAAATTGTTGCCACCAAATATTAGAGCCCTGAATCAACGAAAGTAAATCATGAAGAATCTGTATAATGTATGTATGCTTCTCGCACTGTGAAAAACAATGGTACCTAGAGACATCAAATTTTGAATAACGTAGTCCTCCACTCGAAACTCGAATATGGGTATCTGGAAGCCGAAACCTGGAATTTGTTTTATTATGTGTTTCATATTTTGTAAACCTTTGACGAATTTTTTGATTAACAAACTCAACTATTTCAAATTGAGCAATGGCAGCATTGTACGGGGAAAAAAATTATCTCTAGCGCGTGAGACTGTGTATCGGAAATTCTAAAGTTAAGCTGTTTTTAAATATTTTATGATATCGCTGTTGAATTGAATTTTATGGTTTTAGCAGGAAATATATGATATTTAATAAATACGAGATATTTATTATTGAAACAAAGTACGGTATGATAATTATGCGAATATATGATAATTAACATACCATACCTTCGTAAAGGTAACACACAAAACATTAAAAAAATCCCATCTGGGCGTAATATAAA